AAAGCACATACAGAAAGAGGAGCGATCTGGACTGTTTTCCTTCAAGCGTGAATATGATTGATGGGTGTGCTTGATTGATTTCTTTCCGTGGGACTCAAATGTCGTTTTGTTTAGGTGCAATCACGAATCTGTCATGCACATAGCGTTCATACTATCTCAGACCATCGATCTGGCGACGAAATTCGAAAGCTTCTAACTTGCCCATGAACATATTCGCCAAAAGCTACCCCGTCTATTTGTCTATACGGATTGTTATCAAATAGAAGCCGTACTTTGAAGGTACATCCCAGCAGCAATTCTTTGAGAGCATTTACCGCATTCCTATACCATGATTATTGGAGGCAAGGGCTTCACAGAGGTAGTTGACGATTTCTGTGACCGGTACGTTCGTACAAAGAGACGAGACGTCCAGCGAAATCATAATCTTTCGGTTAAAGTCGAGATTTTTCATGCTGTAAACGAATTCATAGGTATACCGAAAGCTACAGTACCTGTGCTAACTCATGTGATGCTAGCCGATGAGGCTGACGGAGTAGCGACAGGCAGGGGGAGTGGACGTAAACTGATGGCTAAGATGACGTGACGTCTCTGTTTTCCTTGCGGCACACATAGGAAGGTGTGTGAAGAATGCTTGATATTGTGCGCTGGTGGACGGAGAGGACAAATGGGAGAAGATTAAAGTACGCAGAGTGACTTGCAAACACGCCGGAAAATCCTGCTGGGATTAAGAACGGGCTTGCGCGCATATTAGGGGCTTATTTGAAGGTTCCTTTTTATCAAAATTCCAAAGGAGTCCAGGTCAGCATAAAGAACCAGCGTATATAACCGGCAACAGACACGCTGAGATATCACATTTGGCCTTGATTTTAGGCAACAAGCCATCATGATGCGGCGTAGTCGTGCTGAAAAATACTTGGCATTCGTGATATGTGCTTTGTCTAGTTTCCTCCAGACCAATGTCAGACATGGCAAGACGATGATTATTATAGTAGGAGCATATTGAGAATCGAGCGATGTGCGTAGAGGTGATGCACATCTTATTTCGGAGTTGTCTAGGTCAGTGCAGAGCAAAGACAGGTTGTGGCTGTCCCTGTATATACACGCTCGCTGCTTCCTCCCACCTCACTGTGAGAAGATATATTTAAAAGCCGAGGTCCAATCATGTGTTTAAATATTTTATTTCAGGAAGGCGGAGGAGACGCAACCGTGGAAATACGAATTGACCATTCAGGTTCACATCAGATACAGCATCAGATCATGGCGAATGATTCAATCCTTGTGCATGCTTGCGCTCCCTGCCCGCAGGCCGGTGAGCCAGATGGCTGAGCAATCATCC